TTATGAGTCGTCTTTCTGTACGTATTCATTATATCTTTGTCCACATCATAAAATGATCCCATTTTTACAAAATATTCGTTCATATCACTGACATTAAAATCTTTAAGAATCGTATTATTGCTCTCTTTACTCGGAATATAATTTTGTTTAAGGCATTTCCAGAACTCTTTGGAGTCTTTACAGTCAGACAATTTATCTATGTAAAATTTCTTTTTAGCATGCCATATAGCACAATTCAATTGATTTCTAATTTTTTTATACTCCGTCCAATCATAGTCATTTCTTGTCCTCAAATACTTTTTCTTTAACTTATTTTTTAAACGCGTTAGTTCTATTACTTTCTCATTTCTCCATGCTGCTTTTTTCCTAGTCATTCTCTTTGTAACAAGGGGTGCTTGAATATCATAAATTCTCCTTACATTTGATGTTATGAAAAAGTTCATATCATTAACACCAGTCATTTCAGAAACTTTTTCCCACTCAACTCTCTTAATTTCCTCAATTGTGTCAGATATATTGAATTTAGAGAAGTCTCTGTATGTGACAAACTTAGCTACTCTTTTCTTCCTTTTATACGTAATATTGCAGTATACAAGTTTATGATCAGTGATTTGTTTTTGTCTGCTATCCAATATACTTGCAGCATCAATCACCCCAATCATCTCAAACTGAGTTGCTTTATTGGTAATAATATGGTCAATTAATGTGGCTGATTTTTCTGTAACTCGTGTCGGCTTGGTAATATGTTGAATGCAGTTGTATAATTTAAACATGTGACGGAGGTACTTAGTTTGAGGGCAAGAGTATGATAATAAGTCGATATTCAAATCACCCAAACATATGACGGAGTCTACTCTTACTGCACTGTCTACAAACATTGCCTGAAACAAAGAGCCGAGGCCGGTATAGCTAACATGCGGTGGTCTGTACACGATTGCCACGATTACTTTTGCACCCCTAGCTTTGACCACTACAGAGATAAATTCTATGCCTGGATCAATGCCTTGCAAGTGAACTTGCTCGAAAGCCAAACCGTTCTTGATGTAGAGTGCTACACCACCTCCAGTACCAAGAGCTCGGTCTGCCCTCAGAAGGATGTACCCAGGTATCTCATAGTGGTCGGAGGGTGTGCTGGGACTGAGCCAAGTCTCAGAAACCCCAAGTAAATCAAAGTCGAGATCAGTTGTCAGTGCACACAATTCGTCAAAACCTGTGTTCAAGGAACGGATGTTTAAATGGGCAAAACACAGGCTTTGAATTCCTCGTTTCCCGCCGCCTGGCAAGGCTCCGGGCCCGGGACAGCTCCCTGTGGAGAGAGATCAACCGGGACCGGACCCAATTCCACGTCGGAGGAAACAACTTCACTTGGAGTTTTCACGTCTAGACATCTCGTCATACGCAGTGCCGCCGGAATCACTGTGCTAAACAATGACGCCAGCCGTGAAACTCCCCATCTGTTGAGATGTCTTCCATCTCGAGCAAGATGCTTTCTTGCCACCCAGCAGTTGGCCTCCACAAACATGACCCCAAAATTATTGCACATTAAGTCAAGTTGGTAGTTAAAATCAAACAAAGCTTTGTAACTGATATCTGATCTGATGACTATGCTGTTAACATAAATTTTTGAGTGAGGAAAGTTTTTTTTAGCCATAGACAGCAGGTCGGCCATGTCGTGGAGTGCCTCCCGCTTCCCCTGACCTCCATTGTATCCTGGACCTCCCCTATAACCCATCCGTAGGTTGTTCGTACCCACATGGATGTGGATGATTCTAAGATTGTGAGTAACGTATTTTAACAAAACATTCTTCAAATGATTAATTCGTGCTCCAGGGCAACATTCTACAAACGCACCTCTTTTCTCTAAGTCTAAGCTAACATGGCGGATCATAGAGTCACCTAAAACTAAAACATCATCATACAAAGGTTCATTACATTGACTCTTTTTGTTGCTATCTAACCGAGCACCTACGGACGAGCCCTGTGGAACGGCCTTAGCTTCAATATTTGTCACCTTATTTCTTTTTTTTGACCTACATTTTACATTCAAGTCAGATTTACATACTACTTTTACACTTGCACCTAGATTTAAATCACTCTCTTCACAATCTATATCATTCTCAACAATGGATGATTCATTTTCCTCTACATCGAGAACCTCAAATTTATTCCTACATACAACATTTGGGGCACCCAAGCAAACTCGCCTTTGTTTGTGCTTTCTTGCTTTGATTTTAGTCCAAGCAGTTTTTTCTTGAATTTGTGTTGTGTCACATTTTCTGCTTGTTCGTGATACATGATTCACTGACTCGATCACCTGTTCAGAAGGAACAGTAAGATCCTGACGAGTGTGCTTGCGTAACCCCCACCATTCTTCAAAACAGATCTCATTCGACTTTTCCATACAAAAAAATTGCAGAACATGTTTTGCATTTACTAACACATTGAGTCCACATTCAAAAGAATTTTTTTGTTGAAAACAGACCATTTCTAATACCCTCTCTTCTATTATATTTAAATTCTTTGCAAGTAAAATTGCAGACTGCTTGTTACACCCGGATACAGAATCAAAGTGGAATGCTTTGCGGTTCTCTAGGTCACAAAATAATAGACTCCAATGGGAGCCAGAGTCCTGTTCTGAGCTTTCTGAGTTGCTCAAACAACAAAACACAAACTTTAACAATGGAGACTGAAATTGCTCAAAGACACTCTTTACATGATCAGGTTTACACAACTTTAATAAATGTGTTTGGGCAGGACCTAGGAGTAAAAAACTATTGTTATCTACATAGGATAATGCGATAGATTCGAAATAGGCATTCAGCGTGTTGTCATCAGCCCACAAACTGACATCCCAGGAATTAGTATTACAATTTACATGAGCTACATGATTGTTGGCTGCGTCAGTTTTCGCTAGGTTAACAGCATCATTCAAGTTTTTGTTTAATTCACATAGCTGAGAATTTTTACATTTCTCAGATTTGAGTTCACTTAAAGCTAAATGTAATGATGACTCTGCATAACGACACTGTTTGACAGTCTCGATAATCTTTTTTTCTAAATTTACAATTTTAGTTTTTAAACTAGCGACCTCTTCACCTACTTCATCCTGGATCTTGAAAGAGTCATTCATCTCCTTCGTTCTAAGCTCTTTTTCAACTAAGCTGTTTCTTTTTTTTTTTGACTTTGGAAATCAGGTATTTACACTCTGTAGAAGCCGCATAATTAGGATGTAGTAATAATGAGAGGACTTAACACTCATAATTAGTAATTATGAGAAGTATTTATTAACACATACCACATACCTTTACTAAACCAAACCACATTAGAGGTTGTCCAGTAGTCGAAAACTTAACCAAAAATATGTAATTCACAGACTCCTCTACTTTCACTCCACTATATTTTTCTATTACATTTGAAGTTTAAATCATATATTATAATGAATATTAAGACATATAATATAGTTTCCGTCTGTATTTTGTTTAAGTACTGAAGTAAGAGGAAGCAAAGTACAATAGAGTACAAGAAGCAATAATGTCAAATCGATGCAGATTCCATGCAAGCCCGTCTGCCGTTATTGACATCAGGATCTAGCTTGAATTATTCTACTTTACTATCATTTATCTTCCAGAGCAGGATTTATTTTGCAATACTCTATACTCTTATCCGGCTTAAATTTAATATTGATTTGTTTTAACTGACTAAATTGGACAATCTTTAAAATCAATGAGATATCTGGATTACCTGGTTTATCTTGACTGTTTTTTTATTGCTGCAAAACATTAGGATTTTCCTTGAGATAATGGTATGCTATTCATATTAGTCGAGGTCTTTTGTCATGTAATTTTCAAGAAATAATTTAAAAATGCAACTGAAGATTCACTTAAAATTTTGGTTTCCTGTAACGTGTATATTTTGTTATGCATGCAATGAATATACAATGTTAACAAATTTATTTAAATTAACATTATTATATAATAAAACTACAAAATTTCAAACAAATTGGAGAAAGCTTTCCTATTTATTTTGACGTTATTTTGATTAATGAATTAGAATGAATGCCTATGACATTTCTTGCATGGAGTATTTTCGTCAATAGCAAAACTGTATTGCCAATAGAACAAATGTTATATCTTTACATTGTTCTCTACCCATCAACATTCTGCCGTTATTCACTATAAACCATCGTTAAGCATGTTTATAAGTATTTACAATGTTGGTATCCCTGAAATAGTAAATATAAATATTAAACTAGAGTGAGGTTAATTCCTACTTCTCGGAAAAGCAATCGACGACGAAATTCATTCTCTCATTTGAGTGATTGGCCCATCAACTTGACTCGGAATTGAAACAACTCTTACTATTGATTTTAACCGAACAAAACACTACTTTTTTTAAACGGAAGTTTCAGAATTTTGTAAGTGTACAAAATGAAAAATATCAGTGCTCTCATGTTGAAGTTGTTAGCATAGTACTGTATTTGGGTCGAAAGATTATTTTATTGCTTTAATTTGTGTATTTACTGTGAGTTTGTATTCTGAAAGTAGGATTCCCATCCTAATGTATTTACATTTTCACATTATATCAATGTTCCCATTATCTGTTTTTATATGTATTTCATTTTTAGTCGATTGTGTCACCGGTGATGTAATCTTTCTCTCATATTTTAGAGCCAGCATTTACAGTGTGTCCTTCACGTAGGTAGATCAGGCTCAACCTAAAGTTTCCAAAATAAACCATTCTTTTTGGTAGTTTTATGACAAGAAGTAAATAGTAAACACCACAACTCCACATATCCAAGGGAAAATATCTTTAATCTGCCAGCTAATTCATAAGAACGGAAGTTTCTGTTTATCGCTTCCCACATTCCACTACAGATTTGCACAAGCAGTGTCTAGCAAATCCAACACAATAACACGACGACGACTGTGTATCTCAGATGTTATGTCAATCGCAACTGAATGTTGCTATAGGCATTGAGGCGATGGTTTCTACGGAAACGTTTTCTGAATAATTGGACTGTTTTTTCTCTTTGTAGAGTTACCGGTAAATTTTCAGTATTTAAGCCTTTAAGATGTGCAGCATAAACAAGATGGACCGTGAGTCGATGGTGGACGTAAACCTAAGAAACACGTTCACAGAGGCCGCTAAGAAGGCTACTGGGGACGGTCGATCCATGACACAACAGACAGTGGTGGACTGGCTGACTAAGGCAAAGGTAGAGTAATATTGCACTACAAAATGTCACTACAAAAAGTAGGCAAATGACTTAAGAGTGTGTAATGTTACGTACCTATTTTTATTCCCCCGGTCTTGGGTTTTCAATTTTTCAAAATTACAGAAAATATTAAGAATTCTAAGATTGAACACTTTTCTTGGTTTTTTGTTAAAAAATGTTTGCTCGGAACTCTAAATAACTAATTAATAATTAACAAACAGATTTACTGTACGATTCTACCATTACGGACTTCTGTATCGACACAACTTCTCATTATAAATACAATGTCTTAGGTTATTGATGGACAAAGCATCACCAAAGAGGAGTTTGCTTCTGCCTTCCAGAAGCTGGGTAAAACTAACATAGACTTCTCCGAGTTCACCAAACTGTTAGTTGATTTGGCCTTTAGCAAGAATTTAGACGTCGGAGTTTTAAAAGAGAAGCTTACAAAGTAGTTGACAAGGGTACAATCATAGTTCAGAGTGAGTCAATTACTGCCAATTAAAGATTACTAAGATGGTTGTATTGTTCTTTTATGTTTTCATAAAAATCGTAAATTGGTTTTACACTAATTTTACTACCAATAAGATTAAAATGGACCTTTAAGGGAGTTAATTTCAGTATTCTTCATAAGCAAATAGATAAGATCGAATTGGATTTTAAATAGCTGTGTTTTAGAAAAACTCTCGTTATTCTCAAGATTTATTACTCGAGCACAAAAGCTAAGTGAACTTGAGTAAATTAACTGGACAATAATCAAGATAAACAAGGTAGGTATTGAAATGCATATCTTACCTTATTAGGCATGAAAAATATTAAAAAAGAATACTTAATATTTGCTTGTATTGCAACTCTCTAAATTATCCCTGCAATATTAATAGTAATTTCAATAGTAAAACGTGTCCTGTAGAAAAGTTACCTAGAACAGAACACAGCATAACTCTTGCAGTAACAGCATAGCCAGCTTTATTGAGCTGTTGGAAATGTTGTTGACGTTTGTGGAATTTACTGAAGAGTTCTCACACTATATTTTGTTTACAAGTAATATATAGTTTTCAATTTATTGGTAAAGAAAAACATAACGAAGTCGAACTCGTGGTACTTTATGAAATATTGGTATTCACGCCTAGATAATGAGTTTTCTTTCATAAATGTCATTTTAAATTACTATTCATAACCACGGCGCAATAAAACTTTGAATACAAAATATTATATGATCTGCATTCACTATTCCTTGCATTTTTTAACTAAATAAATTGGTTTTGAATCTAAACAGAACTTGATTCAAACTTTGTGTGTAATAGGTTATGCACGGTATGAAATAAAACTACATAACAATTTATAAACAATAATTACAATGGGCAAATTTCTTGTGGTTAAATTAGTATTGAGAAGTTACTAACAAAAACTATAAAATACATAATGTGAGTTTTGGTTAAATAAGTATCAGATATTCTGAAAATCCTACATATTAAGGGCAAGCATGTTTCATGAAAACCTTTCTCCTCGGCTCGGGTGCATCGCAGGCAAAATCTACGCACACTGTTAGAAAGATATTCTCCTGTAGAATCCCTTTATAAAGTAAAATAGGCACAAAAAACACAAGAAAGGAATTTAAAATTTACAAAAATACATTGGCCTTATGAGTTGCCATACTGGTGACGAAATAACAACGACATATAAAAAAAAAACCAAAACAAAAGAAGAAATTTCAATCGCATGTTTTATTTAAAGCGTGGGGTGAAAATATATTGTACATTGCGTATTTTTCTTCGACTTTTCAACCACTGGACGACCTCTAGTATTTATTATTACAAGATGACGTTTAATATGAGGAAAATTAAGCATTTGGTTTACATACTGTATACAGTTAGTAGTATGAAGCCTTTAATCGATGCCAGGTATCTTCTTCATAAAGGAGATTGTTACTTGGAAACTTCATCCATGAGAGAGGTTAATGAAGGCAATAATGAAGCTTGGCAGGTATAATTAAAAGCAGTAGACAACCTTGTTTGATAACAATCTTACAACGTTGCTAATAATATCCCCCTCAAAAATATTTGCCGAGTTTTGTTACAAAGACATGGCTGATGGAAAGAAACTAACTTATTTAAATTCTCTTTCCAGGAATAGCTTGGTACACTGACTAAAATTTGTTTTGTTTGCATTCAGAGTATACGATTTATTTTCTGCAGCTTATGCTGTTATTTTTACTACAACTTGAAAGCACATGAAATAAATTTAATTTAATAATACGTTTATCTAAGGCAAAAATGGATCATATAACGAAAATTAGAAGCTAATATTGCTTGAATATTTAATGAGATTATTTGTATTTATTTATAACTTAACCCAATAACTATTTTCATATTTAATGTGTTTCTTGTAGTAAATTTCCATAGATGTGTTTATTAAAGCACAAAAAAATCATACTAATTTTAATTCCAAATAAATAAGCACTGCTCAGTACTAAAACAATGGATTTCTCTTTGGAAAACTTTATTTTTAAACGACCAGAAAACTAGTTATGTTTCATAAAAAGGCAAAGGTTATTTTAAGACACATTTGCTAAAGCATTTATGTTTGAAAATACAACTAACTAAGAAATACACGGATTGATGGATATTGTAAGTATTTTAATATAAGTAATCAATAGTTTCTCTATACTTAATATATTAATATATTGCCATAAATTTATTCCTTGCTAAATCACAACAATAGAAGCGATCTACATAAGTACCATCAGCTGCACCCTGTGCTATCGACCAGTCAGCCCAAGGCAACCATCATTTAACCACAGTATATTTAATTCCTTAGTTTGATTTTGTTTTTGGCGTACATAATTGTCTGCACGTAGTTGATTAATAATTCCTAAATTTATTTTAAAAGTTATAAAGAGGATTTGTAATATAATATGAAGTGTACAATTTTAATAATCGTAAAGGTTGGTAAAGGGGAACAAATATTCTGAGTGATTTAGTAATATGGCTTGAATTAAAACAACATATAATGAAAAATTGCATTACAACACACATAATGAGTAGACATCTAGCTGCCAAATAAAATAAAGTTGAGAGTCATATTTTAATGTATGTAATATTTTGTTTACATATAAAATATATACATACTTTAGTCTAACATAATACCTCTGATATATTTCAATGTTTGCTTTGTGGGTTTTATTGATTGAAAACATATTATTAGACAACAGAATATAAATGTAACCTATCAATAATATTACAAATATAGGTCTTGTGCTTTCAAAACACCTATGACTGTAATTGTATCATACCATTTTGCTGTATGACGCTCGCTACTATTGTATAAGTTTAAGAACACCGTACTCTAAAATAGAATAGGAATAAATGTATGCCATTAGACTAATAATCTCGCAATGACAATCTTAAATTTAATTTCAATACAAGCACATTAATTAAATTGTTTACTAACAATTTTCAGCAATTTTATTGGAGCTATGACCTGATTACGACTTAATTGGCTTTTCATTAGCTTTGAATCACCCACAAACTCCAAGTTGTTTGTACTAACACTGTACTGTTGCTTACAAAAATGTTTACTAGTTCTGTTTGTTTTATGTGATAACAAATCAATGCACAAAAAATTAAGTTCCGCTTAAAACATTTTATTTAGAATTTTAATTTAGGATCTAAAATGAATAAAACCTGTATTACAAACCCCTGGACCAAGACATCTACATTCCCTGCATGAATCTGCTTCACCCATTTTCCCGTCACATCAACATTTTAATATATTTACAATGTATTAATAATTACTTTGTGTGGTTAAATAATCAGTTGGGAATTCGCCAGTCGGTTATTTACTTGATACTTAGCTCAATAGACTGAATACACATTGTTGACATGACGTTCAGCATTTATGACATAACCTCCAAACAGGTACTCGTTTACATAATTTGAATTTGACTGACCTAATCTAACCTAACCTAGCCCAACCCAACCTAACTCATCCTAACCTAGCCTAACCTAACCCAACCTAACCCAACCTAACCTAACCTAACCTAACCTAACCCAATACGTATATAGATAGACCTATATGTAGATTTACATGTAATGCTGACACATATCGTGGTCGTTCACCCAATTCAGTTTTGTCGATTGGACTGTGTATTAGCCTAGGTATTGCCCATGATAAACCACTAACGGTGATAGGTACTTTATCATGTAAAACATTCGCCACCACCATGTAACGTATGACTCACACACCAATTTCACTTGATGTGTTGTAATGATGTGATGTGTTGCGGTGGAAATAGAACCGTCATGTTGATAACACTCTGCTCATGTTCAAAATATAAGATACTTCAATATGATTTATGTTTGTTTAACATTGTCTTGCTAGATAGAGCCTTTGTGTTAAAACTATGCTAAAAATTTCGTTCACAGTTTGAATACTGCTCATGTATTATGCTTAAAAATTATCTTCTGGTAAGTCCCACTTTACTGGTAGAAGACCAAGGTGTTACTTCATTTTTTATTCACCAAAACTAAAGTAAATGTTAAATTGCAATTTTTAAGTTAAACACTTTCTTACAAAAAATAATAACTTGGTAACCTAATTTTAAGGTTTCGTGTGGTTTTTATTTTTGGTAAGATTCCCTGTGTGTAATTTATTTAAATTTATAGATGAGTTCGGATCATATGGAACGTAAGGCAATCCAAAATATTAGTTATGTTAAACACTTTGATCATTTATACTAAAACACTAAGGAAACATGGAATCTTTTAAATATTCGGGAGTGGTGGGTAAAATCCTCGAAATTCGGGTACAGCAGTAGTCCTTTCGAACCAGCTACGGTTGAATTTTATTTAAAAAGAATATAGCTTTCAATTTGCTTGGTTAAAAATTGGTGTAATCGGCAGAAATTATAATTTTGCATCACCAAACTCTACAGCACACATTGATCTACCTTAATGTTTATTTATTTAAATGATTATGCCTACAGCTTAAACATGTACATGAAATGTCTGGTCATCCATGGTCAAAAATAAGATACATTTGAATAAGATGAAATGAAATGAAATGAAAATACTTTTTTATTGAGGCGAACATTAGGACCACATGGTCCTTTCTTACAGTTAACCTCTTATGTACTAAATCTATACTAAACAATGTATTTTTATAAAACTTTTAAAACTATAAACAAAATAATAAGTAAAAACTAAAGTTATAAATCTTTGTCCCTAATATACGCATACACACACACATTCACTCTTTGCCATACCTAGGCCTAACGCACGCCATCCCGCCAAGCCACGGTCATCCTATCGAGATAGTACGCCTTCAGCGCCGCCGTCAGTTGGGAACGGGATTCTATACTCCTGATAGTGAATGGTAGTGAGTTCCAAAGGCGAAATGCTGTTACTGTAAATGATCTATTATAAACTGTTGTCTTATGGAGGAATTTGGAGAGTTGATGAGCCAGAGCGGGTGTTTCTTGCACCTCTTTCATTTAAAAATTTAAAATTGATCGCGAGATAAGTTGGAATTTTGAGATTGATGGCCGAATGAGTTATATTAATAATGCGTATTTCTCTAACGTCAGACAGTCAAGACGTCAGACGTCAGAAGATCAAGTTTAAAAGGACTTCAAGTATAAATGGAAAGTGTACATATTATTTTTTATACAAGATCATTGTGTGTGTCAGGGCGGGTAGGACGTGGGTTTGGGCCATGTCGTCGCCCCCTTGTTGTTGAGTGTTAGATTTACGATACAAACACAACTGTGGCCTTGTACTTGAGACGTCTACTCTACCACTCTACCACTCCTCTCTACTATACACTCGACACTGCAGCCACGGAGTAAGGAAGCTAAACGGGTGTTCCTAATCGACAATTGGGCCAATCATGTAGAAAACAAGTGTTCTTGCTGTCTATATTTGTAACCTCCCATCGCTGCTTTACCAATAATTGCTGGATAATCATTACTGAATACCTATAACCAATCATCAATTAATTGAGATAGAGGACACCTAGGTGCGTATTTAAACCAAAATATGAGTGAAAGATGAGTGTAGAATGGTGTGAGATGATCTGTTTCTTACTGAGTGTCCAATTAGGAATACAGCAAGATCCTTGTAACTTGGCAAATAGCTAGTAAATATGTGTAATGTTCCCTGACAATCTGGGTTTCACTGGATAGTAATGTTAAATTTTAAAACCATGTCTCAGTCTCGAGTCTGATCATAGCAAAATAGTTAGATAATTAATTGCTCTTGAAAACATGTCATGCCGTGAACATATTATATAATCAGTAAAAAAACATTTAGGGAAGACACATTTCCAAAGTGTTTCATGTTTTGTTTGCTATACAAATGATAGCTAGAACTTATGAGTTCCGGAATAAAGGTTATTAAGTACCTAGCATGTAACGAGGAATAATATGATCATCTAGCTATTTCGTATGGAAGCTCCATCCCGGCATATCCACAAATATTTCAGAGGGTTGAACAAAGACATTTTGATAATTTCCCTTCAAAATATTCATTAGAAAATGTCACTTACATTGAAACAGTCAAGTATCCAGCGTAGGTTACATCAGGTTTTCCCAGTAGGTTGGAAGTAATGCGGAGCATGAGACGGGGTGAGATGGCCTCGTAGACGTAATGTAATTTACAGATCTTGATATGTTATCAGAACAGCTGGAGATCTTCGTTACTTTGCTTTTTATCTTTCAGCAATGATATTTTGTATGAACTATACATTAAATTAATATGAGTACAGATAAATGTGAACTTATGTTATTATTCCATACTAACACGATAATAGTTCAAACTGGCTATGACAAAATTAATTAAATGTACGATTCAGTAAAATCTTTCATTTAAATCGTCATGTAGGTTGATATTGTAAGTGCCGGGGTAAAAAAATCTTAACACCCTCTGACTCTTACAGACTGGTACCATCTCTGGATTATTTGATAAAGACTAACAACGATTTCTTATTGGAAGGAAAATTTACGTTTTGTAAATATGGTCAATTTTTGGAGTAATTTCAAATATTGATCAAACGTCCTTTTCAAAAGTTAGTACGATAACATTTTTTTTTTTTATTGAAGAAACTTCGCAGTAACCTTGTGAACATCCACAATGATCAGACGAACTAATCAATATTTCAAATCGTATTATTCGCATTCAACTCGACAAACATCTGATTCTCATATCGATTCAAAGACGAGTTTCAATGTAAAAGGTTACCGAAGGTGAACCCGGTCGCTAGCATCTTGTACATAAACATTGACTTTCAAATACTCTCGAGGCGAAATTGTTTAACTGATAATCGAGCCAGAAGGGCTGTATGCATAATTCATGTGGCAAATGTGAGTGTATCACTTTAGCAACAAACACTCTTTGCTTAAGTAAAGGTCTTTTATTTGTTAAATTACTACCATGGCGTATACATTATATTCCCATGGTAAATTTGAAGGTTATACAAAAAGAAAATAACTTATAAATTGCAAAAATTAAAGAGTGCTTTTATAAAATATATAATTTATTTTTTACAATAACATTTTATAACTAACCTGAGAAGGCAATCATAACATCTTTTTCACCACACTATGATGTTTTTAGCTGTTTTACACGTTAATTGGTGGCTGAAAGTTACGCGAAATCAGCTGCCCACTTACTTTCTCAAAATTATGCTTCTTAACTTTGACTTAACTGACTTTCTTAACATGAATGCATATTAAATACACAATCAGTATCCATAGCATTGCAATAGAATTGGTTTATTGGTTTGTTGTCACCGCTGCCTAGCAACTGTTTATTATTATTTTTGCCGATTCCTCAAATTATTTCTTCACATAACCTCAAAGTTGTACTTGTGTTGACTATCAGTGTACATTATTATTGTGGTGTATAGTGGTAATAGGGTATAGTGTGGTGTTTAAAGTTTTGTCTATGGCTTCCATAACACAACTTTTTCTTGGTTTATCTCACCATTGCAACATTTAAAACAAGAAATATAATTTAAACGTAAATTAGGGTTCAAAACTTAATTTAAAGGTAAAAAAACGCAATACCTTTTCACTTCTCAATGATTAATACTGAGATTATTATCTACCCCTTAATAAAGACTGATGAGTGGTTTACCAACTTCAATCAGGTTGCGATTATAACAAATAGCATACCCATTTTCCTGAACTGTTTCTTCCGTCTCTTGTTTACTACTGTATCTGAATGTGTTTAAACAATCAACTAAAGGATCAGCTGTTAAATTACAACTAAAATTTAAACCGTTAGAAAAAAATTGGTCAGCGCCACTGCAAAGCAAACTCTAGAAATAAATCGAAGGCTAGGTGTGAAGCCCTAAAGGATATCACTGTACCTTTTTAGTTACAATGTGCAGATGCGCTGATTAATAAGCTTTAAAATGACATCTCAGTCGTATAAATAAGTTAATTAAGTAAGACAGGAGCAAAAGGGATCCAACGAAGAAAACCCGTTTTATAATTAGTATTAAAAAAAATAATCTATAGGTAGGATATTGATATTTAAAAAATATATAATTTTAGAGCTGTGCAAATTCAAACGTTTTTATAACTTATTCATGGTATAAGACGGATTTATAAATTCTAATTAAACTTTCAACACATGACTGAGAAATCTGTTACAAGTACAAACATAGGAATAAATTCACGGATTAAGCAAGTATGCATAGTTCAGAGGTTCTAACTGTAACATTTACGCATTGCCAAGCAGCTCGTTAACTAAATACGATTTACAGAAAACACAACACTGCAGGCTTATAATCCGCTTAGCCTTGCTTGTTGCTGGGTTGATTATGACCTATTATCTTATCTGCGTATATTTTCCCCGTGTGCTTAAACTAAACAAGTAGCTTATTATTTCAACTGGTCTATCAGTATCGATACTAAATATATATAAATATATCGTCCCGATTCAACGCGTTCACAGCAAATAACAACCGACTTAATATTGAATCTTAAAGTTTTTATACTAGCTAGCTTGAAAACGATTATACAATGTTCAAGCAAAAACTATTCGTACAATATCAGCTGGTTACATGACTAAAATTAAAGCATTTCTTGTAAAATTTACTCAGAAACTCAAAAACCCATTAAGTACTTTACTTAACTTTCATGCTTTATTTAGAAATGGTGACCACACGAATGTAGGTATTCTAAGCCAAGTATGAATTGATATGATCGTAGGATGAGTCATCATCGTGAACGGTACAGTGCTTGAAACTTAACGATGCAAAGATTACTTGCACTATCCAAAGTCAATGATACAACCCAGGCCCAGCTGATTACGTTGTGTTTAATTAAGTCAAGTAAATGAACCGAGAGATGATAAGCGATCTCTGGACATGGCGCTTGTAATTAACGCGAGAAACGAATGCGATCCAGATATCGACGTTATCGCCGCAAACATATGGCGTTTCTTCCACCGAGGCGAACTCTCAATCGTAAGTCACGATGTTTAATGTTCAACCATGTTCAACTTAACGTGCTTTGCCTCCTTTAGCAGTCGTGCTACGGATGGGAACTGTAGTGATTTTTAGTTAACAAGACTTTTAACTTGTGAACATTCTTTAACAAAAAATTAAGTAATATTTTTATGACCAATGGATAAATTATTTTACTTCTGCAGTTATTAGTATACTACTGATTTGTGTAGTAGAATAATAATTAGGTGTGTGTCTAGTAGTTAGAGCTTCCGCCTTCAAATCTGTAATTCGCTGGTTCGATTTCAAGTAAGGTCGATTTAGGACACAGATTTAACATTTGGTTTCATTTGACAGTGAACATTAATTAATGCTATCCAACAAGAGATAGCGTTCGGTAGTAAGAAGACCATTCCTTCAAAACAAAAGCAAAAACATATGGCAGAGATAACGTACAAAATTAAAAATATAATATTATTTTATAGGTGTAATTTGTTTAGCAATATCGTTTCAAAGGTAATTTTTCCATTTTCAAAAAATATATCAGATATACATTTAAGATAATTAAATTAGGATTTGATTATATCTGTTTGGATATTTAATTATGGTTACATTTGAGAAAATTATGAAGAACTTTTTAAACTCAATGAAGATTTATCATTTTTGGATGGATTATAATTTACAACTATTTCAGTTCAGGACAAAATAAAAATATTTAAGCAGCAAGCATCTAAATATGACTGTACATTATAGCACATTCTACAGTATTACTAAACTTTAAATATATGGAAAATATATTATTATCTTACCTTTAAATTATTGTCCACTTCCTCCATGATCGGAGTGGCCATCGCTCTCATGTTGATTCGCATCGCTCCTGAAAAAATATCTTACATAAAAATACCGTTATTGGTAGGCCTAACATTATACATTAAGAAACGTGTTATCTGAATAACACATTCAACAAAAGTCAACTCATGATATTTTGTTTTCATCTGCTCCTCTGGATGCTGAAATAGACATCAGTATGGAACAGCTATACAGTCATTTCTACGTAAAGAAAACATTGACAGGAGTGCAACACATGAGGTTAGTTCCTTTTGAACATTTTTTCCCCTATGATTGTTTGTAAAGTCACAACTGATGCTATAATTGATTGATTAGATGTTTCCTATAATGGATAATTGAATGCAGCGTAATTGAAAATTCTATTTAAAAGAAAGAAAAATGTCCTGCTGCAACACACTATGCTCGTGGTTAAATTAAGCTAGAATATTTTTGTTGCTAAACTTAAACTTAGAAATGTAATTTCTACTTCAAATTGAACTGTTGATATGTTGAATCACAATATTAAAAATGTCGCCAAGTGAACGTGGAACAAATGGAATCTGAAAACTAATACAACTTCCACACTAGAAATACCCTCATTTGCATTGATTCCATTATCACTTTGTAGGATTCATATTAGATTACTCAAGTTTCAAGAACGAAACCCCTTTTGATATTAAATTCTCAATAAGATATTATACTAAAATTGAAGGGCGAAACTTAATGTATTTTTTTATTGTTGTAGTCAAGAATTGTCTAAATGTCTTTTGTTAATTAATTTTGTAACTTTACCTAAGTTTCAAAGATCGTAAAAATAAGCTCATTTCACAAACAAAATGAATTGTAGACATTTAATTAGAACTAATAATGAAACTAACTAAAAAAATTTAACTACATTGTGAGTTTTTAAAAACTGATACATTTCAGAGGCTAAACATTTTGTTGGCTAAATATGTATACCAGTTGATATTCCAAACATTCGAGTACCAAAAATAGTTTTATAACATGAAAATAACACTTGTGGACAAAGAGGCCTCTGATATGAAGAGGTCTTTAGAGCTTACGAGAGATAAGGAAGCCATTCAAGTGGATCCAAGACAGACGGACTGGTGAGTGAAAAGGGAAAATATAGCCTGACTGGGGTGATATTAGCTTCTACACCTTGCTCTGGGGCTGCAGGGTTTAATGACTTACAATGTCCATCACATAACTCCGCATCACATTATATTATAAAAACAATATAACAAAATATAACCTATAGGAAACCTTATACGGATCCAAAAACAAATATGTCTTCCACCACTATTCGATATGAATACTCGCATGCTGTCGTACAAGTTGGTAAATATATGTGTGTGTTTGAATACATATCATAGACAAATAGAATTAAATATAGACCGTCAGCTGTGCTGTGGTTACCATAGGTTCTGGCGCACATAACTGGGAGCGCCATGTAGTTACGGCTCACGCGCTACGTAACTACACGGCACTCTCAGCGGTGTGCGACAGAACCCATGGTAACCATGGTTACCGCAGCACGAGATGTTACAATGGCCATGACCGGTAATGGTCTGACCCGACTGGAGATTAAAATTGAACTCTCGATAGTAAATTACACTATATATGCGTTTTGTAAACATACACTGGATCTTAAAAAATAAGCAAGTGTGTTGTTTATGTTAATTTTGTTGGTTGTAACTACTGTACTAAAAATAGTATTATTGAAAAAATACAACATTTTAATGTGCATAGGTTATTTTACTTCTATCAAAGTACTATTCATATTTTCACCTACTTAATACGCATTTCCTTGCGATTATTGCAAAAGTAAAAATCCATAAGAGTAGATGAAGTAGAATAAACAATATTGTCACAATGTTAACATTTTAAGCGAAAAAAATAAAAAAAATACTATAGTTAAAGAAAAATATATTTTCACATTTTTAAATAGTACAGGTTTAAAGTAAGAAGATGGAAGAGCTAACCTACGCTAGTGGTGAACGTTATTCATCATAAACATATAGCGATAAGTAACAACTGTACGACCTTTCAAAGTGCTGGGAGTAAATAATTTTCACTAGAAGGGTATAGCACCATGAAGTGGAAACAGACATATAGCACAGAACGTAAGCTTAAACCATCTCAGCGAAAACGTATGACAGCTGAAGTGGAAATAGCTTCAATGATAATGCGTTGTTTTGTTTAGATGTGTGGTTTTATTCACTGGGTATGGTAAAAATAAATTGCGTACTTTTTGGTTTTGGCAAACATCCTGGTTGGGTTTTGAGCCGAATAATTTACAGAAATAAATAGCACTACGAAACCCTACAACCAAAACGTTGCCGTACCACAATCTTATATTGATTTTGCGTGTTTACTGTTCTTTTAAAGTTTAATTTCGCTAATGACAGTCTCAAATTAATCACATACAACTGATAAATACAAAGAGATTAGGTCAGTGACTTACAATATATACAAATACGATTGAGTTTATGTAAATTATGTCTGCCCTACTATGATAAAGCAGAATAACAAAATATATTTAGTTTATTTTAAAAATAATTAACAATTTCAAAAATGCGCGGCTTAAGTTAAGTTAAAATGTTATGTTTGGTTACCTTTACTGTTTTAAAACACGTAACCCATACATTCAGGTTATGGATGGTGTATACGCTAATATATAGGGGTCAAAATGTAATCCCAAACAACTTATTCACTATTTGATAAATTCAATGCTTTTTGGCAGATTTTGAATATCGGATATTTCTTCATGGATGGAGGTGCACAGCCACAAAGGATAACAGGTCTGAGCAGATGAATTATTACGGTGCTCGCCTTCGAATCTGAAGTTCTCTGGTTCGATTCCAACCGGGATGAATTCTAAACTCAGATGTCATTCGGCCATTTGTCTTCAGACTTATTAATTATGTTAATTAACAAAACATTGGCGTTTATAAGTAGGAACAACATGATTTGGACCGTTCCCTTACACAAAAATGTTTGAAAAAATGACAACGGTGATGATAAAAATAAAATTATACAAAATATATGTACTGTATAGTTATTATTTTTTTTAATTTCTTGGTATTTTTAGGTAGGATATTCACCAGTAGAGACTGTATAAAGCTGACTTGTAAGTAAGACACTAGAGTGTGGTGGTAATTAACCCCGAGGTCAACGTCTATCGACCAATCACAGAGCCGCATTGTGACTGAGACTTCGTACTATGTGCCACGGGCTGTGTCTTATATGCGAACTGGCCTAAAACTTAAAACTATCCTAAACTTGTAGAAATCACCTAAATTGTTAAATAGGGTCAAAATTTCAATCTCATACTACAGAACGTCTTTCTAAGGGAATTCAATCGTTTTGGCAGATGAAAGTGTTTTTTCGTTTACACAACTGGAGATATCTGAACCAGAATATTATTGTGTTGTATACTTTTGATATTTATTGCTTTTCAAAAATGTCTCCTTCTTGTTATCACAAGTTTCTATACACTTAATATTCCCTATAATTATTGATGCTTAAACACCCGTATCTCATCCTTGTTTTGTTATTTTAGAGTCCGTATTATTGTTTCTTGTATCACGTTATTTATTTATGTTGCAGCTGATTCTTGATTGAACTTATTTCCCACATCGAGTACCGGGATGGTTTATTTTGCCATTAAATATTTGCAATCTTAAATTTTTGAACGATTCAACTAGTTTGATGGTAATTGTGTGTTTTAAATTAGTAAATTAGTTCCAAAGAACATTACTAAACAGGGAAAGGTAATTAGGTTGATATATTAATATATTGAAGATGTAGGCAATTATTTGCACGTTTTATCCCAAACATATACTGTAATGAGGAATTAGCGATCATCCATCAAGCAAAAAATGATTGTGTTACACAACATAGAGAGAGATGAATATTTTGACAGTTAGGACTACTATTATAGGAACAAATCAAAATACACAAATCTGAGGTCGAATTATGGAGCAATTTGCAGAAATAAGTAATTTCCCTTAGAATACTCTAGTTTTGGAGTATGTTTCAGAATAACCGAATGCAGCAAAACGTATCTTTTACTACTCTGAAACAATCTGAGATATAATTTATCCAAACATATATGGAGAATAATATGCTAAAGGATGACAGTATCTTCACACATGTAATTCATGCCATTTGACCTGTATTGACCCCGTCAAGAGGTACTTGGCAACGCCCGCGCTCACTTACCGATATTTATACATTTACTTGTACATTTCCGTTCACGTAGTTACATTTCATGTTGTAACATTTTGTATAATAATTCTAACTAGAGGTCGTCCAGTGGTCGAAAACTTGACCAAAAATGTGTAATGTACAAACTTTTCTATTTTTACCCTACGCTGTAAATAAAGCATGATTGGAATTTCTTCCTTATTTTATTTTCTATTTATATTGCGTTGTTATTTCATCACCAGCATGGCAACCTATAAGGTCCACGTTATTTTTTAAATTTTAAATTAATTGTTTGTGCTTACTTTTGAGCCTATTTTAATTTATGAAGGGATTCTGCACACATACAGGAAATATCTTTCCAACAATATGCGTAGATTTTCCCTGTGATGCACAAGCTAAGAAATAAGGTTTAAAAACATGCTTGTCTATTAATATTTAGATAAATGCACAAAAACCTATGTTTCATGGTGCCAGGAACTAGAGTTGACCTCTTTCCAATCAATCAAATACTTGCAAATATTAAAGATGGATCAACTTAATTCTTCTGTGACTGAATTTCTAAAAGAAGCTACTACTATGAGCACAGTAGGTCACTAATAAATGGAAATGAATATTATTGATGGACATAAAATTTCAACATGAATCTCCAATCCATATTAAAAAAAAACACGTAAAGTTGCAAGTTAAGCAACGTTAAGTAATTTTATTAATTTTTGTATGTTAAAAAACATCAGTAAAAAATGTACACATAAAAGTTGCATAGACTTAATAAAGTTTGTATCATTACGTTTTACGTTATACACTATATTAAAAGCACGTCGACATATTTCCTGAAAT